TGTGATTTTCTCCCCCCCCCCCCCCCCGCCCCGCCCCCTTGTTTTTCTTCTTTTTGTGTCAAGTGCAGAATTTATTTGGTGAATTGGTTCAGCCCATGGACATCTTTGCTATTGACGTGAAAAGGCGCTTCTGCTTAAACTGCATGATTGTTTTTTGAGATGTTAACAATTCTTATAACTTCAAAAGCGCAAAAGGTTGTGCTGTGCGGTATATTGAAACTAGTAAAACTATCTTCTTCCTTACAGAGACTCTAGTACTTTCAACAGAGACTCTGTGTCATCTATATATTCCTGTTTGCACCAGAAATGGAACAACATGATGAAAGCTTTGAGATGGATTTTTTGGACAAGCAGATGAGATGGATTAAGTTTTGCATTTTTAATGCCAGGCTCTCTGTCTTGGTGATGAAAGTTTCGAGCAAAATGATGGATAGGACAGTCATTTGGAGGTCTAAAAGGGTTTGATGCTTCTTTTAATGGGTATAGTAATGCGACAGTTGCACCTCTTATTTGCAAATGAAACATTGGTCTTTTGTGATGCAGAGGTATCCTAGCTAGATCACTTGAGACAAATTTTTATCAGTTCCAGGTTGTGTTAGGCCTTAAAATCAATCTTAAAAAATGTGAGATCACACCGGTGGGATAAGTGGATAACACCAAAGAGACCGCGCAGGTGCTGAATTGCAAGGTGAGTACTGTATCTACTACCTATCTGGAGTTAGCATTGGTGGGTCTAGCAAAGATTTTCCAGTGTGGAATTCAGTTATAGAGAGAGAGTAAAGAAATGACTAGCAGGATCAGGTACTTGTCAAAAGGGTGAAGGGAAGTATGATCAAAAGCACCCTTTCTAGCATACCTACATAGGGATGGAAACAAGATTAGTTTTTTGGTGCTTAAGTGGTGCTGGGAGAATGGATTGAGGAATTCCTCAGCATATATAGAGTGTCTTGCCAAAGAAAGATGCTAATCAAACAAATTTTGTAAGTCTCACAAGCGGGTGGGATTTAAGATTCTGAAGGAACGTATAAGATTGGGAGATCGAAGAATTTCACAGAGATTGTATAAGATTGGGAGATGGATGAATTTCATCGAGATATTGTATGGCTGGACACACTAAACAATACATCGGATGTATGGAGTTGGTGGGAAAGTGTAAATAGATTATTCACTGCCAAATCCTATTACAAGAGGTTATAGGTGAGAGAGGAACATACTCGCCTCATGGTTCTATTTGGATCCACAGAGCACTGAGAAAGGTATGTTTCTTTGCATGGTTGGCGACAAGGAGTGTGCTTTTGATAGAAAAAAAAATTGAAATAGAGGAGGATCACCTGTGTTGGTGTTTCATGTGCAACAGTTTGGGTGAAGATGTAAATCATCTTGTTTTGCGTTGTAATGACTAATCAATTATGGAGGATGGCCTTTAATTTTCTTGGGATGCAATGTGTGATGCTGGGCAAAGTCAATGGGCCATGGCGAAATCGGGACTCAGAAGAGGGGGAAGAGAAGTCCAAGGGCATGGAGTGCTGCCCCCTTAGCAATCATGTGGGTTATTTGAAAAGGGAGAAATATGAGGACATTTGAAGGGGTGGAATGAGATTTTGTAAAATTGAAAACTAGTGTTTTGTTTCCAGTTTTCTTTTGGTGTTCTCATGAGGTCCCTATTTGTATAGAAGATATCTCTTTAGTTGAGAAACCATATTTCGGTGTAGGTTCTCTTTCTTTTGGTATATTTCTTGTATACGGGGTTTTACAAATGATAACAAATTATTTACCTTATATTAAAAAAGGAACAATATGATACAATTCTATTTTATTTTTTTGATTGATTGCCCTTATATTCAAAACATCTTGAATTCCTCCACCTCCGTATAGTGCACCATATGCAATCTTGTAGTTCGCTCCATCTTCTTTTTTGATCTATTTATCCTCTTCTGTGTAACTTGACAACAGTCCAGGGCTTTTCCTGGCATTACCAACTCAATCCTGCCATAATTAGAAAGATGTCCAATAATGTGCGGTCACTTCACAATGTAGGAAGAGATGGCTATTTGTTTCTGCATTTTCTGCATGATTCTGTAGGTCGTTAAAGTTAAAATGAAAGTACTGTCAGTTATTGAGAAGTTTGACTTCAATTTGCCAATTTTGGGCTTGCAGTGCCGAGAGTGGAAGCGAAGGCTCAAGCGAAGGAAGTGATGCAAATTCTCAAAATGTGGGTACCGTATGGTGGATATTTTGATTTATGTCATTTCATCCTTGGCAGTTTTTATGGTGGATTACTGTTACTTAAAATCTTGTTTAGGCATACTATTAAATAGGCTTTCCATCTTAATGCATCAATTTCAGTCTTTTGAGCATAGATTTTTGGTCCGTTCATTACCATTGCAGTCGGTATGCATGCAAACAGTGTTGTCCTATTTACTACTTAGTTGGTACTATCTTTGATTTTTCTTGTTATTGTGTGTAGGAGTCACCAATGAAGTCAGCAGGCAGGCAAGATTCAGGTCTGGTGGTATGACTTTGCTTTAAACGTTTTATGATAAGTTTTGAAATGCATTATTTGATGAGAAGTATGACATCTCTTCAACAGCTGAAGAAGCATCTCAAAATGGCAATTCTGCTCATAGTTCTCAGAATGGAGGAACTAGTGCTCCTCATTCATTGGTCAACCAAACTATGGCAATCATGCCAATGTCAGCTGTGGGTGCTGGCGGTGTTCCTGGCCCCACAACCAACTTGAATATTGGTATGGACTACTGGAATGCCGCCGCTTCACCGAATATTCCTGCAATCCATGGGAAGGTACCGTCTGCTTCAGTTGCTGGAGGAATAGTTAATGCTGGATCAAGGGATATTGTCCAATCACAAATGTGGATTCAGGTATCCCTTTTTCTCTTCTTAACATTCTCCCTCTTTTCCAACTTTAACTTAGTGTGGCGGATTAATTCTGTATTTGCATTTTGCATTATAAAACAAGACTCTGGTTCTAGATTTGAATATATGCAGGTGCTCTTAATGTTCATCTTCATGCTAAACACCCACTTTAAGAGCATGTACTTCAGTTACATGGGAGGAGTATGAATAGTGTACAATATGGCCTGTCATAGCCTCATAGGATTATTGGTAGAACGCATTTAATTTGTTCACACATAGAGATTTTGTAAAAGTCACAGATGTTTTGCCTGGGTAGTGCAGCTTTTCTGGGTACTCAGGGTGGAACATCCTAAATGCATTCCCTTTGGATGTCCCTTTCTGCCGTTTCTTACTGTGGACATGTCTCCTTTGGTTTTCCTTTTTGTTTGTAATTTAGTCCATATTAACTGATGATATTTCTTTTCCTTGAATTTAGGATGAAAGGGAGCTCAAGAGGCAGAGAAGAAAGCAGTCCAACAGGGAATCTGCACGTAGGTCTAGGCTACGGAAGCAGGTACAGATAATTCCTCTCTTGTTTCTTTGTCTCTCTGGATTGACCCCTGACTCCACTTTGCCTTTCGGGGCCAGGCAGAGTGTGATGAACTAGCACAGCGTGCTGAAGTTCTAAAGGAAGAAAATACCTCTCTTAGAACAGAACTGAGTCGTCTAAGGAGTGAGCATGACCAACTTGCTTCTCAGAATGCTTCTCTTAAGGTATTTTCTCATTTCCTTTCTTTAGTTCTCTCAAATGAAGAAAAAAAGAAAGATAAATTCAATAATTGTCACCCAATTACTACTAGCCCAACAAAGAAACTAAGAGCAGAAAGGTCAAAGGAATAATGTTTCCTAGTTGCAGAACCAATCAGCCTGTAATATTTACATGAAGTGGACTGTGTCATGGTTTAACACTAATTTCCATTTTTGGCTCACTTTATTTAATACCTTCTAATTGCGGAAGTGAGTTGAAATTGCTACTTCTCTTTTACCTGTATCTACTTTTAGACACTTGTGTGCCATAGTCACTGGATTTGACTTTGCAGGAGAGACTTGGTGAAGTTCCAGGCCGAGATGATCCCAGACCTAGTAGAAATGACATACCTCTAAACAAAGATACCCAGCATTCAACACAAACTGAACCCAAACAGGGTGGTCAGTGAAGTTCTGGCTAGATTATCGTGGATTGAAAAATAGGCTTAACCTAACAAACTTAGTAGCAACAGTCTTTAATTTGCATATTTATGTAGTTTAAAAATCTATGAAATGTGAGGCTTTTTAGTATCGGGATTCATTGTCCAATATTTTCCATTGTTTCTCAGTTTGGACCGATCTTTTATGGTCGAGAAACCTGGATAATATGTAGAGTATGTGACGGGTGGCGCGTGATAGTTTGTGCCTAATAGGTGGTGTCTCTGTTTTACTCAAATTTGTATGTACTGATGAAATAGTTGATGGCATTTCTCATTTTCAACTGGATAATATGTAGAGTATGTGACCAGTGGCCCGTGATAGTTTTGTGTCCCTCAGATAACTGTTAGTGGCATTTCTCATTTTCAACTTTAAAGATGTTCTGTTCTTTTGAAAAAGTGAATGGTGCTCTTACTGGGAAACTTGATCCAACAATAATATTTACAACAACCACATACCTTTTGTGATCTCACAAGTGGGTTTGAGAGGATATACGAAGATCTTATCCCTTACATTGGAAGGTAGAGACGTTTCTGCTAGACCTAGGGATGGCAATGGGCGGGCCGGGTTTAAGGATATGTTGTGTGGGGCGGGTGGCGGGTATATGTGATTCATGAGGTGAGGGTCTATGCGGGGCTTGGTGGGGCAGGTTGAAAATGAAAAAAGTTGTTATGTAGGGTAGGGTGGATTAAAAATTTTGCGGGTTAAGTTCAACCTGTACCACCCTATTGTCATCTCTAGCTAGACCCTTAATTCAAGAAAAAACATATCAAGTAGCTCGAGAAAAGAAATATGAAAGTGAAGTAGCCATACCAAACTACAAAAGAAAAATGAATCTACTCTGGTAGCAAAAAATATTAGTAAACGATTTTGGTAGGTACAAAACTCTAGTAATTGAACATAATATATTGAAGAGTTAGTGCTAGTTTAGAAGAAAATTAACTTTGGGGTTCCAACAAGCTACTGCTATATCCATTTAATTTCTATGATTTTTCAACAATGCTTATAGTGTTGGTCAATTAATTAATGTGATTGGTGATGTATAAGATTATTAGAAAATAATCGAATTAGGATTGTGCTACAGACAATCTAACGAGAGAAATATAAGTGATTGACACGAGAGCTCTTAAAGAGGGAAATACTTTAATCTATAGCTAGTACTACATCCATTTCATTTCTATGATCTTTCAATAACACTTATAGTGTTGGTCAATCAATTAATATGATTGGTGATGTATAAGATTATTAGAAAATAATTGAATTAGGATTGTGCTACAGACAATCTAACGAGAGAAATAAAAGTGATTGACACGAGAGCTCTTAAAGAGGAAAATACTTTTAATCAATTCCGTTCATTACATAAAAATTATACCTATTATAAATTATAATTATATAATTAAATATAGCATATGATTTGATATTAACATAGAAAAAAAAGGCAGAATGGTCTGGGAGGTCCTCGTACTTGTCTCATTTTGTCACCTGAGCCCTTCTAATCTAGACTTTGCCAACTGAACCCTCGAACCCATTGAAATCCAACATTTTAAACCTTTTTTTTGACCTGTCATCCCGTGTGGCAAAAGTAGTTAAAGTGCGTGAATTACACCCACTTTAGGAGTGTGAGATGCTTTTAAAAAGTCAATAACGGCCACTTTTTGCCATCTTCCTCAAATTCCCCTAATTTCTTCTTCAAATATCCAAAATTTCTTCTCTTTCTCACTCATTTATCTCTCTCCAAAATTCTTCACTCCAAATTTCTTCTTCTTCTCCACAATTGATCAGGCTTTTTTGTCTATATTTTATTTTTCTCACCTTTTTCTTACTCGTTAATTTTTTTTGTTCTTCACAATGATTGTTTGTTTTTGCTATTGTGGGCTTCATGCTGAACTTAAGATGTCAAGAACATCAACAAATCCAGGAAGAATGTTTTGGGGCTGTCAAAAATACACAAATGGTAATAGATGTGGATTTTTTCGATGGGCTGATATGGCTGATCCTACATACCAAGAACAATACTACATGAAGAATCAATCAACAAATGTTGATCATGGAAGGCAGGGAAGGCATGGAAAGCATGGAAAACATGGGAGGTCGAACATTAGTATTGATATCAGTGTTGCTGTGATTGTTGTCATTTGGTTTCTATCTTTTGTATTTAAGATGTATTGATGATTTGTTCATTTTGAGTACTATGATAATGTATATAATGTATGAAATATCAAGATTAAGACTTATAATTATCATAGCAAATTCATAAGCAAAAATAACTTGTTTGTCATAGCAAGCTAACACAATAGTTGAAAATTAAGTTAATAGTGGAAAGTATCATAGACAATGTCATTGACAATTTAGCTAGGCAAAACATGAGCCTTTACTATGAAATATTATATGTCTTGAGTGCTTGGTGTGGACTGAGTGGCTCGCTTGTAACTTTGTTCTTGTAGCTGCCTTTGAGTAACTGCAGCTCCACTCTTCCACCTTAGTCCATTGGGTTTGTAATCAAGATCGATATTGGTAGGCAGTGAACTCTTCAATGGTGCACAATGTAACACTCTATCAGTAGTTCCAGACTGTTAAAAGGCAATAATGATATTAGTTAGAGAGATTCTATAGAATCAAACTAAAAGTCCTTAAATGATAATACTTACCCTCTCAATCACACTACAATTTGCTCCAAATAGCATACCAAAATCAGCTGTTCTTGGCCTCTTATATCCGACATTTGCATCACATCTTTTAACTTTGCTACTCTTCTTTGAGCCACTAGCACTAGTAGTTGACTGTTGAGTACTAAATTGACTTATTGGTTGAGCAACACTTGCAAAATTTACAGAAATATTTGCAGCACTTCCACCAGTAGTTGTTGCAAAATTTACAGAAATGAACTTCAAATGGATCCCTAGCAACCTGCCAAAACTTCTTCCTCCTTTCTTCACCACTCCATACCTTCTTCCAGTTGGCCCATATGTCTAGCACATCATCTAATCTCAGCATTTGGCAATAAATCAACAAGTTCTAGGTTAAGACCCTATCAAAGAAAAAAGGCATGTCAAGGAAAAACAATAGGAACATAAGTGTAACATAGAAATTGCTATAGCAAAGTAAAAAAAGACTACAAAGTGTTCTCATACCTTCTGTATATCAGACATAACTGTCAGTCCTTCATCTTCAGTTTGTGTCAGTTCCAAATCATCTTTGATGCACTTGATAAATCAAGATCATGTGTCCTTGGATTCTTTATTAACTACTTCTCATGCTATAGGGTACATCTCATTATTTCCATCCTTGAAAATGCAAGACAACAGTTCACCTCTACATACACCTTTCAGAAATGCACCATCAAAACCAATTATCCTTCTACACCCCTCCATCCAACCACTTTTTAATGCTCCAAGACAAATATAAATCCCTTGGAATACCTCTTTTCCAAGAATTGCATTCTTGGATGTCCTAACAACCACAGTAGTTCCTAGATTTGTAGACTTCAACTCCTCAACATAGTCATACAATCTAGCAAATTCCTCTATGAAATCACCCATATGCTCATTCATGACTTTTATTTTTGCTCTTCTACAACTTGTTTTACTAACATACAATCCATAATCCTTTTGTACCAAGCCTTGAATCTGATGGAGTCTGATGCTAGGCTCACTCATGATTCTGTCTTTGTAAGTCTAACAAATCCAGTTTGGAGTACACAACTTGTTTCATGTTCTTTTGAAACACTTATGGACATGAAAATATGTCTTCACAATAAAATTTTCAGTATTACCCTCAATACTTCCAAGAATATGCCAAGGACAGCCCTTCTTATTACACTTTACCCTAATCCTCTCCTTTTCATTAGGTTTAAGTTTAATGTTCACACCTTTCTGAATAAAGTGAGTCTGTAGTGCTTTTCTAAACTGAACATTATTCACAAAAATCATATACAACTGAAAATAAAAAAAATTGACAGTTGGGTCAAAATAGACCTTTGTACTTGAATTCCTAGATGGTGGATCTACAACCTCATCAGAATCAACAGGATCCCCTTCATCCTCACTAATATCACTGCCAGGATCTGAGCTATCAAAATACAGGTCATCCCCACCCAATTTTCCTTCATATCTTCCCCTCTTATTCTTATAAATATCTTCAAAATCAGCATCTATACCTACAGGACCCAGAAGGTATCTCATCTACATTTATTCTAGCAGTCTTCTCTTTATTAACTTGTTCTTGAATGTTAGACTTCCTAGCTTCAACAAACTCAGAATCCAAGTCACTTAAGTCATCAATGTTCTCATCAACATCATAAAGTGACTTAGAATCAGATTGTTTAGCATCTACATCTACATCAGATTCATCAGATGTATGAAGGTGGTAGAAAGAAAAGTCATTACCTTGACCTTCATCTTCATCTAAGTCCTCTAAAGAAACCTTAGGAGCAGCAGCCTCTTTATTCTTACCTTTGTCTACCCTAAGTTATTGATCTTCTTTTATATTTGTATCATTTTTATCAGATGGTTGAGAGGAAGACACATCAGCCCTAACATTTATAATAGTAGGTGGGGGTGGGGTGGGGGGGGCTTACCTTTTTTAGGAGTAAGCAATTGGGCTATTTGCACCTCAGTAGGATCCTTAACAATTAAATGAGTACTAATTTGATGTACCACATACACATCAACAAAGTCCCCACCCTTTAAGTTGTTAATAAATCTCAAGACATCAGCATCACTTTTCAACATATAAAAACTACCTCTTTTGTTAACTTTGCACCCAAAGGTTTCAACTCCCAATTCTCTAGCTAATTTATGAAAAAACATAATATGAAGCTCATCCATATCAATTCTTATTTTTTCAAGATTAGAAATTCCATTAGCATACCTGAGTTCAGGATCTGATAAAAAACAACCCCCATAATACATTTGAAGTGTAATAATTGTTGAACCCATATTCTTACCATGCCTGCAAAGTCATGAGAATACAATTAGATGATTGACAAAAAGCCTTAAATGACAAAAAAGCCCTAATTCACAAAAACCCCTAATCGACAAAAAAAACCTAATTTTAAACTAATTCTTTATGGAATACAACAAAAACCTCTATAATAATCTGATATAATCCAATTGGACCACTAACAAGAAAGAAATCCAACACAATTGATAAAAATAAAATAAAATTCAGATACGAAAAAATTCTAGATTCAACAGATATTCACGACAAATGCCATTGAATGCATAATACTTCTACAAATTGTTATTAGGCATGTAAAAAACCAAAATCCTCCCTAAAATCACACCACGACCTCTGCAACAACTAAGCCCTAACAGGAACTCAAAACAACAAAATTCAAAATGAAACACCAAAAACACAACTGCAAAACAAAGAGAATGAAAATTAGTCAAGAAACTTACAACTATGGAGTGAAACGCGAACTCAAACACTTAACAAAATCGAAAAAAATCGCAGTGAGCAACAATGTAAATCGGGATTAAGGGAGTAGAAGGGTCTAGTTGAAAAGGAGAAAGGAAAGAAATGCTTGAAAGAAAAGAATTAGCCTATTTTTAACATGTCATATCCTATGTGGCATTTTTAAATGACGTGGAAAGCTACGTGTGGCGTTTGTAGTTCACGCACCACTGAGTGGTCAAAAAAAGGGTTTAAAATATTGGATTTCAGTGGATTTGAGGGTTTAATTGGCAAAGTCTAGATTAGAAGGGCTCAGGTGACAAAATGAGACAAGTACGAGGGTCTCCCGGACCATTCTGCCTAGAATTACCTAGTACTATATTTTTTTCTCCATTGAGTTTTGAACATCAGATTTTAGGATTCAACAACCAGTTCATTGACCAATGGCTATACCCTTGTGCTTTCAAATGTAATTTTTCACTCATTTTGATTGAATAAAACAATAATGCCTTGATTCTTTTTCCCATCGACTTAATCCAAATATCTGTGTAGGATAGCTACTGAACAATTTTTTTAGTAAGAAATTTCGATAAGAAAATAGCATGAGACAAGTACAAAGGTATCCCAAACCATTTTGCCAAAAAAAAAATAAAGAGAAAAGAAGTTGGGAAAGAAGATTAGATACTTTTATAAATTGAATGCCACGTAACCAACCAATGCTTTCTTCAAAAAAATCAGCAAATTGCGGCTCTACCGTTGAATTAGCAACAGACGCAGTAGCCACTAGAAGATTCCGTGCTTCTTCGAATCTCCACCTGCGTTCCCCGGAAAACCACCGGTCCCTCAGCCACCGGAATAGTTGACGCAAATGTCCGTAATGTTCGCTGACGTGTCCGTTGTTCTTCCGTCAGCTGCCGGCGGTTTGAAACACTCCTATGCATTTTCCGACTCCAAATCCCTTCTCTCCCCTTCTGTCTCCAAAGTAAGATGAGATTCTTATTATATGCTGTTTATAGTTTCATATATAGATATTTTGGCTTTATAATGCAAGTATAAAAGGAAAAAACAAAGAGAAGAAGAGATATGCTTAGTTTCGGCATGGAAAAATAATCGTAGATTCGCTGTGCTAATAGAGACTACGAGTTTATGAAGATTATTTGATGAAGTTAGAAATTGATAGTATTTGCTTACTATTGCTATTTTAGTTGAAAAGAGAACTTTGGTTGAAGAAGGAGCCTAGAGCATCCACATATGCTAATTACTATGGGTTACATTAGCTCACAACAGAAATTGATTGAGTATTCATTAGAGAAATACACAATAGAAGAAAGAGATTCCAGTGGCTGCGGTTTAGATAGTTTATTTTTGTTAGATTGTAAAATTAATTGAACCAGAATACATCCTCCTTTATAGGAATGTTAATGAACACTATGGCGTAAGCGATAATGTGCGTAATAACCATTTGGATTACCAGAATTATTGCAAAGGTGATGTAGAAATACGGTGTGCATTACTTCCTTGATTAAAGCTTCATGACTAGCTACATATAAACGCTTCATGACGAACATAATGCAGATTGGAATGTACTCAGAATGCCCCAAGCTTAATATGGTATCCACTTGGCTTGAATACAAACTTCATCAGTTCTTAGATTTGAGAAAGAATATTTGCTTACTCTTCAATTTTGCAAGAAAATGTTGAATTAAAATAGTCTAGCATGATGATACTTACAGTTGTTGAGGAAATAAGTTGGGAAATAGTCTTAAGCACTATGAACCTTTGGAAGTGTTTCAGGAAAAAAGGCTTTCAGAGCACTTGGACATTGCATGTATCTCTTTGTAATGAACCATATGGTGATTATCAATTCTTAAAGTTCAACATGATAATAGGATGCATGATCCCTAATTGGAATCGGCATGTTCAGTCCTTTGTTTGGGTATAAGTTAATAATTTTTTCTTACAAAGACAACATTATCCCTGTGCAAATATAAACATGGTAAAGGACGTAAGCTCCTCTATCTATGATACAAGGAGTCAATGAAGTCCAAAAGATTGTCATAATGATATACATCGTTCATTTTACGCCAAAATGATAGAAATTTTAGACATGTAGATTTTATATAATGAAGTGCAGTTGTTTACCTTCAAAATATCTGGAGTTCCTCTTTGTCCACATTGTCCATATGGTGCACAGAGGTATAGACAGATTGAAGTCAAAATGTATTTTGTCGTTATATTTTTGGTGTAAAGAAAGCTTTGTAGATGATGATGAATCCTTGGTTGATTTCATATGTTCCCTGTGAAGATCTGTGATTAATTTTTGTAAGACGGAACAACTTTTTGTCTTTGCTTACAACTTGTAAATATGGTGGCACTGGCCAACATTCCCTAAGCTGATGAATACACTGTTACCATTATTAAAAAAATAAAAGGGCTTACGTCAAGTAAACTGAATTGGTATATTTTCAATTTGGAAATCCTTAAGGTAGATCTATTTAGCGGTGCCAGATTATAAATATCTCTCCGAGTCAGCGATTTAAAGTTGAATTTGTTTCATGTAACTGACATTGAATTCGTAAAATAATAAAAATAGTCTTTTAGGAGCATGAAAGTGACTGATACAGCGGTAACCTATCACTAACATTTCAAGCTATATCACTTGTTCTTGAACATCGTGTGGTTTGATAAACTTAAATTGTGTAAAGATATCTTCTCGGGTTTGTTTTGTTTAGCTTTGCACTTTAGAAAGATTGGCTAATAAGTGCATGAATCATCTTGTTTGTGTTGAAAACTTATTTCATTAGCTGAAAAGATATAAAATTTGCATTTTCTCCTGTAAATATATCTATGACTAAAAGTAAAGTTTTATTTTGAATTCAAAAATTTGGACTTTATGTGTGCCGTTTTGTATGCTTGAGTGATGGAATTTGGGAACATTTAATCTGATGACTGATTTAAGGGCTGTTTCCTTGTTTACCCCTTCCTTTTTGGGGTGGGAGGCTCGTGTGGTTAATAGTATGTGTGTCATTGTATTCTCTGCAGCTTCATGTGATACATTTTTCCTCAAGCAGTAAAAAAGAACAGCTCAATTTGACCATTTAGCTGTTTATACAATTGTATGTTGATGTTCTTGATGGAGGGTCACGAAGGTGTAGTACTTTCTTGCTTCCAGTATCTCACAAGAGAAATTTCCTAAGTACCTTGGCTATCTTACATTTATTGCCTATAGTAATCTTACTTCCTTCTGCAGAGCTCTCCATCTTTTTCTGTCCCGAGGCTAGGAATTGGACTAGGAAAGGCCCAAACCAGAAGCTGGACGATAAGAGCAACAGCGTCAGGAAGTTCTGGAGGTGATTTGGTCCCAGTTGCTCCTGTTCAGTTGGAGTCAGCTGTTGGTCAATTTTTAGCACAGATGTTGCAAACCCATCCCCATCTGCTCCCTGCAGCTATTGAACAGCAGCTGGAGAACCTTCAGAATGAAAGGGATGCCCAGTTAAAGGAAAACCAGTCTTCAACCAAAGATGTCCTCCAAAAGTAATTTACTTGACCTTTGCTTCTTTATATTTGCTTAGGGTGACATATTCAGCTATTGTTTTCCTGCCCAAAAGAAAACAAAACAGCCAAGTCTATTTATGATATGACTCGTATAAATACATTTTGAATTTCAGGAGAATAGCTGAAGTCAGAGAGAAAGAAAGGCGGAAAATATTAGAGGAGGTTCTGTACTGCTTAATTGTACATAAATTTGTAGACAATGACATTTCAATGATCCCAAAAATATCTGAAACATCAGATCCTACTGGAAATGTGGGTTATTGGCCAAATCAAGAGCAGAAGCTAGAATCCGTACACTCCCCTGATGCATTTGAAATGATCATCAGTCACATAACTATAGTTCTCGGTGAGCGTGCTGTGGGGCCTCTGGATAGCATTGTTCAAATGAGCAAAATCAAACTTGGTAAGCTCTATGCTGCTTCTATTATGTATGGATATTTCCTCAAAAGGGTTGACGAACGTTATCAACTTGAGAGATCGGTGAGTAAGCCTCCCGAGAGTTTCCAGATCTCAACAAATCCTGATGAGCCAGCAGCACCGAGACAACTATGGGATCCAGATTCATTGATAGAAATATACCCTGAAGATGGTGACAGAGAGGGCTTTGCAGTTTCTGATATTGAGGGTAAACCAGAGAGGCTGAGATCCTATGTGATGTATTTGGATGCAGACACATTACAGAGATATGCAACCTTAAGATCAAAGGAAGCAGTTACTGTGATTGAAAAGCAGACGCAAGCATTGTTTGGAAGGCCTGATATTAAAGTTTCTGGTGATGGTACCCTAGATGTATCTAATGATGAAGTTCTGTCTGTTACATACTCTGGTTTGACAATGCTGGTGCTGGAGGCAGTTGCTTTTGGATCATTTTTATGGGAGACAGAAAGCTATGTGGAGTCTAAATACCATATTATTAATAGCTAGAGATGCTCTTTTGTACTTCAACAAGAAATATCTTTTCATCTTCTAGTTCTGTATATTGTTTACTCGTTCGAACCCACTAAGCATGATTTTTGTATCTGATAATCATCAGACTCATATAACATGTTTTACACGTATACTGCTTGCTGTATGATACAAATCCAAATTTATAAGCTTTCAATTCCAGAAAATGCTGGTTTCTAGTGTGGTCCTGGCAATCTGTGAAAATGGAGTCTGAGTGTCATTCACATCCAGTCAAGGAAACCTAGGTAAAATGGCTCCATAACTTCTGAAAACTGGCTATGCAGATTAGGCATGGGTCCCAATCCCGAACTCGTTGGTTGTCAGTGGCTGTTCGAGCTGCTCCTGGAGCAAGAGTGGGTTGCTCGTGCTGGCCAAGGGACAGAAGGGAATGGTTCCTCTATAAGGGCCTCCCTGGTTGTCGAACAGCCAAATTTGAAAAGTTCAGAAAAACATTATTGTTTTATTATCATTCAGTAATGGTATTTCTTTCTTCAGCTTCTTATATCCGTTGAACAGTGGAGCTTTGGAGTCCTTGTGACATTGGTGATCCTTATGTATATGCCTAATTTGATATGCTTTATTTGAGTCAAGGGTTTATCATAAACAGCCTCTCTACCTTCACAACGTAGGGGTAAGGTTGTTTGGCTGTGTACACTCCCCTCCCCAGACCCCATTTGTGGGATCACCCCGGGTTATGTTATCGTTGTTAATTGTCATATATATATATATGTATATTGGTGATCCCATAGAGCCATCATTACAATTCTAGTGGAAGCTTCTAAATTGTGCATATATAGTTTGTGTCTTAACTTTACACAAAGCACGCATGCTGATATTTGCAGGTAATCATCACTGCAGTGAAGTGGGAGTTTCTTTCATACTCATCTCATGCATGATTGCAGCCAGCTAATGAAGCCTTTCTATAAAGAGTTGCCAGGTCAGTTATCTTTCTTTGAGCAAGTTCTGTAACTTCTTTTGTTTTGGGAGTTCTCATGATTCCAGAATTAGAAGTGGGATGCCATGTTCATCTATGCCATACCTTGAAAACTAGAAAAGCCAAAAGCTTTAGTGAAATGATTTTCTGGGCCTACATGAAGACAGTAAAGGGACGATATCATTGTTGTATATTGTATTTTACTTAAATTGGCCATCTTGAACTTGGTTTAGACAGACATGCCTAATGATGACTCAAGACTTATCCTAGTTCTTTTTCTTCTTTGATAAAAGTGGTATTCGGGTCAGCTTGCCTGCTTGACTAGTTTCATGAGGTACCTGTTATCTCTAACTAGCACAAGTACCAGGTAATTACTCTGTCCACCAAAGTTTGAACAGATGAGAAGATATCACTAAGTGTTTTTGTTTTCGTTGAATTTTTAACGTGAGATATCATGATTTTCAACCCACTCTACTGATCACTAGGTGCAAGAGTAATCTGAGTTGTTGTGGAAAAATTGTACTGTCCAAGTAGAACAAAAACATTTACTCGTATATATATATCTAGCTATGAACTATTTAATCATGAACAGTGACGAAACGAGGTTGAATAAAATGTAAGAGGACATGACTCATGACTAAATTACTTAAATAATGTGGTGATAGGTATTCATATATTGAGATTCGATTAAATTTAAATTTACACATTGTAGGATTCGTTTTTAGTGCGCTGCTTCCAATAAGTTTTTTTCCATGAAGGCTCAAATTCAAAATCTTTAATTTAAGGATGAATTAATCTCAATCATAATAACCGTCTGAGATGTCCATCTGCGTATATCTGTTTTTCCTATTACGAAAGCTACATACATCACCTACATGCGATAGTTCGAATTTCAGTTATATTATGCTAAGCATATTAAAATAAGTAGTAATTAAATATCAATATATTTAACTTGTAGTATAAATGAGATTACACTCTAATTTTCAAGTCCAGATTAGATTTGATATTTTGTTTGATATATATGGAGTTATCTATTATCTTAAATTAATTTAACCTAATAATAACACTATCTAATTACATCCTCAATATAATGGACATAATATAACTCGCATAATCGGGACCCAAACGCGTGAAAGATTTGGTTTTATAATCCTTTTACACATAAAGAAATTTAAAAAGAAAATATTTTTTCTATTCAAGTTAATAGATCATTTTCATCAAACTTGCAATATTACAATCAGATTCAATTATGTTTTGGTCATTAAATACAACTTTCTTTCATACTACTCCACCATCCCAAAAAAGCACGAATATATCAAAAATTATGTCTATTAAAATAAATTAATAATACATGAATTGGTGTAGTTTATTAAATTACCAATATTTATTAAATGTTTCTTTAAGAAGATGGCGAATAAGGATATAGTTAGAAAAACATGTTGATATTTACTTTATTTTCTTTTTTCCTTTACATAAAAATAAAATCATATGGCAATCTAGTAAATAACCCCAACTACAAGGACTATTATATTCCACTCCTCAAAACCGTAACCTGCCAAATCTCTCTGGTTTCCTCTCTCTTTCTTCATGGCTGCATATTCTGTTACCATTTTTACGAATCGAAGAATCCAAAAGAAGAAGAAAATGAGAAGATTACAAAACTTTGTATGATTTAGGAAGAAGAGAGAGAAAAAACCCAACGTATGTATGTATATATAGTAAAAATTTCTATACAGAATTACAAAAAAATCATGGATTATCGAGTTCTTTCATCTGTATCAAAATCAATAGCACCTTTCTCTCTCCTTTTATTGTTGTACATTTTTCCGGCGGCTGAGACGACGGCGGCGAACACGACGTATAAGGCGTTTAATCTATCGACGATTACTTTCGAAGAAGGATATTCCCCTCTTTTTAGTGATTTCAATATTGAACGATCTCCTGATGATCGAAGTTTTCGTCTCCTCCTTAATAAATTCTCAGGTAATTCATTTATTAATTAATTAATTCAACTTTTTTTAATTTATATTTTAGCTGTGGAATTTCACTGGGTATGCCTGAATCGTCAATTTATACGTGTTTTGCAGGATCGGGTGTAATTTCAACAGAATATTACAATTATGGGTTTTTTAGTGCTAGTATAAAGTTGCCGGCCATCTATACTGCCGGCATCGTTGTCGCATTTTATGTAAGTATCTAACAAATTATTAATATATGCAAAAAAAAATCGTATTGTATTGATTTTTTTTTAATGTATATGCATAAAATATTGTTTAAGAGCCTGATTTTGACTACCTATTTTTGTCATAATATTATATGCATGTACAATTGTACCTGTGTATTTTGCATGGGGAAGAGTTATATGAAAATGCATGTAGTTTGATTATTACTATATTGCATCATTGTTCATTGGAATTTAAAATATACAATTCGTTGAAGCAATCACTAATACTTATAACTAGCTAGTCGTATATACGTAATGCAAAATGTTTCATGCACTGCAAAATTATAAATGATCCAACTAGGTATGGATGTATAATATATGAGTTAGACATAACTTAAAACTTCGTATCTTTGTTAAGAAATTCATTAAATATGTACAAATTCAGAACTCAGTTACTAACATTTGAGATCGTTGAATATGTTTGTTTGTTGGAAGATGTTGTATTTTTCATTTAATGAGTTCATATATGGATATGTAGACATCAAATGCGGATACATTTGAGAAGAATCATGATGAGTTAGATATTGAGTTTTTGGGGAATGTGAATGGTCAGCCATGGAGGTTTCAGACTAACATGTATGGAAATGGCAGTGTTAGCCGTGGTAGAGAAGAGAGGTATAGAATGTGGTTTGATCCAAGCAAGGACTTTCATCAGTACAGCATTCTTTGGACACCAAAAAACATCATGTAAGCTTCCTAATTATATTCCTTCTTCTCTCCGTTTATTATCAGTTTCAGTACTTCTATCGCTGATTAATTATTCATAGAATCGATGACTTTAATACTTAAAAGTGTTCCTTAATAAGAGTTGGTTTGACCAACTCTTATTATTTTCTGGTAATACTATTTGGTATCTTGAATTTTGGTCGACTAATTTGATGGAGACACTTTCTATTTTCAAAATTTGAACCCGAATTCTTTAATTAAAAGCAAAAGGAATAGAATATCTTAATGGTCCTCTTATTCCTTTTAAGTTTTAATAGAATAATCTCTTAGTTATGAAAAACATTAGGCAGCAAGAAAATTGTTGGAAATAGTAAGTATATTATGCCTACTTTTTGGCCAAACGCGGAGAGAGAAATTTACGTATCAAGGTTTCGACTCGTTTTCGAAAAAGTTAAACACATTTATTTGGTCAGCTGCTGCTTTTGTTGAATAAGATAATGGTTACCAAATATGGTGTGGTGATGGAACTGTTTCACCCTTAATTAAACGTCTCAAGTTTGAGTTATGAGTATGGAGAAAGCCTTGTTGAGAGTGTCACTCCCGAATGAATCCTGTAGTATTCAGATTTAGTCCGGTCTTCAATGCAAACTTCAAACGTGGAAACAAAACAAAAAATAGAGATAATTTATATATACCAGTCAAACACTTTTATAACGTTCATTCATGTAAAAATTGTTTCAACTATCTAACTAATGAAAAATGCTCAAACAAAGAGTTTCAAATAGAGTGTTTCACCATTAACCAGAGGTCTCGGGTTCAAGCCTTGGGTATGGAAAAAATCATGTTGGGAGGGTCATTCCTGAATGGCCCAGTAGTGCGCGATCTGATTTAATCGGAGCTCCAATGTGGGCTCCGGACACCAGGTGGGAAACCAAAATAAAAAAAAGTCGCAATAACACCCTTTGGACGAGGTTAATTACATAGTTTTGTCACTGATTGAACGGGGACATATTTTTCATCACATTTTTAATTTTATGATGTCTATATATTTGTCACTGATTGAACGGGGACATATTTTCCATCATATTTTTAATTTTATGATGTGTATATATAGAGAGATCTAAAAATAAATGAAGTAAACAATTTTTTTTCTCTGGAGTTTTCTTTTCATACATCTTTCTTTTTGGTCTTTGGTGGGTTAGTGTTGGATGTTTATATTATGTCAATAAATGTAAATACATGTTTTGCATAAACTCTTTTCAAATATTTAACTATGGTCAGATGGTATGTATTTTTGCTTTAA